GGTATAGTATATTTGTGTTTGTTTACAAATAATGTGTGTAATGATTTTAAAAATAGGTGATATAATTGATATAATCGAAAGAATTATAAATTACTAAATCAATTAGTACTTACTATATAATATGTTAATATATTATTAAAATATTATGATCTTCATGACGACTACTCAACTGATGTTTGAAGTTAATGTATTGAACACAGAATAAGTTGACTGATCTATATTTTTAAATAACAAGATTCGATTTACATTTAAATATTAACCTTTTTTTTTTTTCTAAACTCAGACACATATATTTATATTTTTGAATTAATTTAACTTATAACAGTATAATTTTACATATACGTACGGTCTGCGTAGTCTTTTATACTCGCTTTTAGAAGATCTATACAAAAGGATCAGAATAACACTAGTGTATGTCTATGACCGAAAATTGCTTTCTAATATATTATTTGTGTGTGTGTAATGTGTTTGACATTTTGGTTTTTAAATATGATGTTACTATTTTATCTATTGATTTAATTTAAATTTGTATTCTTAATCTTTATGGCTGTTAATTATTATGATTGTTTTGTGATATATTTTGAATGTAAAATATATGTGATGGCTTAATCGCACATTATTAGACATACGTGATTGATTGTAAGCTTACAAATACACAACTTCATATTATTTATTAATTTTTTTTCAAGAATTGTGTATATATTGTAAGTTAATGTTATGGTTAAATTATTATTATTATATATTCGATACGCAATTTAATACACTACACAGATTAGTAAAACGCATTCGATTCTACGTTTTAAATGTATTAACTGATGGTATGTGAAAACATATATCTAAACAGTAAAAGTACACTAAATAGTTTTGCATATATATATATTATATATACTAATGTTTTTGTAAGTCTCTACAACACTAAGATTATGATGTTTAGATTTAAATTCACTATATTAAAAATCTTTGTTGGTATCTTATTAGTAGAACTTGACATCGTTTAATTACAGTATTTTCAACTCGATGCCAAAGCCTTACACACCACCATAACCTCCGCTCACTTACTACTGTGGGATACAAGGTGAAAAAAGAGTTATCGTGAAAACTTATTATTTTGCTTTCTTTGCTTTTCCCATCTCCTTGATGAGTTACCGATTAATTTATTAAACTTTGGCAGGACTTTGGCCAAAATATCCGTTCTTTCTTCTTTGAGCAGAATAGGTATATACATTTAGCCGTGATAGGTATGTATAGTAATAGGAAGGTAGTGGTTTGGAAAAAAAATGAGAAAAATCGATTCACTGAAAGTGTAAATTAGAGCACAATGGGGTGCTTCTATTACACCACTACCAGTACTACTCTTTCTACCGCTATCAACGTGTCTCTAACGTAAGACCCGGTGCCAAAAAAATCCTTTGTACGGGTGTATCAACTCTTTTCCCAACATATCATTATTCCTCTTCGAGATTAGTTCTCATTAATATGTAGTTTGATAAAATGTATAGTTATTATTGAGAAATATTGTTACTGATAATCTAAATTCTTTGAAAATAGATATCGTTGAGTACGTTATAACTTATAATAAAAATGTCTTTAATAAATCAGAACTTAAGCTATGTGTATTCAATATATATTTTATCTTATCAATGGTAAATGACTACCATTTTGCAAATTTTTTGTAAAATTGTTTTTTTTATTTTAAGTATATAATATTATGTAGGTATACGACGTTATAAATATTTATGACTATATATCAAAATGTAGTTTATAATATTATATGTTAAAAGTTAATTTCTATTAAAGGCAATCAATGGTATTTAAGAAATGTATATTTCTTCGTCGATCACGTTGAATGTTAAATATGAACGAAAAGCGAATTTAGAAGTTTAGACATTTATAAGATATTATTTTGGTACTGTAAAAATACTATTTTGTTGTTGATACAAAATGATTATTAATATTATCTAAATATAAATTTATTTAAATAATTTATTCAATTTTAAATTGTCTGCAATTTAAAAAAAATTATATTTCTAATTTTTTTAAAATTTCTCTGAATATAGAATTTAAATGTCTTTTCAATATATTTGTGTAATACATTTTGATACAATCATTCACCATCATAATTTAAAATTCTAAGTATTATAAAATAAGTACTAAAGTGTATGCGTAAAACTTTAATATTATTACTTTACTGTTTAATGCGAAATAAATTTTTCAAGTGGTTTAATCTTGTGCATGAATTCTTCAAATAATAAATAAAACAATATTTCAGTTAACTTTATAAATTTCCATGTTCGTATATATTGTGTAAGTGTAATGTATGTATACTACATCAAAGTTATAACTATAAATGGTATATGTTTAATATACATATAATATTTTATACAAAAATATATATTTTATAAATATGTATATATATATATATATATATTCAAATATTATACAGTTTATTGTTTTTAATTATTAAATTATTATCATTGTACACTATCTTTGACATATTTATTATTATTTTTTTTTTTGAATATATAAATCAAAGTACTATATTATGATATATTTTTGAAACCAAAAACAAACTTTAGAGAAGAGTCCAAGTATATAAAATATGTCTAGGATACTTTTAGTATATTTAATTATAGTTTTGCTGTCATTGAGAAGACATCTAGAATATATATATATATAAATGCATAGCTTTAGGGTACCACGTTGTATTGGTGGTGGACGCAGTCAATTTGTGGTAGGAGCATAATGTGCAGTGCTCGTAGTGATGGTGATTGTGGTACAGTAGAAGTGGCAAAAAGGCAATTGTCAAAGGCAACATTAAATCCCCTCCGGATATTTTATTAGATAGTTTTTTTTTTCACGTTCACGTTCACGCTATGAGCCAGTATATATTTCAAAAGCATCCTGTCTGGATGAAAGAGAAAAAGAATCCTTTTATTTATAATAAAGGCAGATGGAAGTTGGTCTGGTGTAATTTGTGTGAGTATAGGTGATAGAAAAATAGCCAAAGAGAGAAACTTTTAAGGTATTCAGCGTTAAATACGATTTATACGTTAGATAACTTTTTATAGTATGAAAGGCTCTTAGCCATCACAGTCACCTACGTTATAATATTATCAGTTTTTATCAGATATCAGGGATATTCTAGACTAAGATTTTCCAACTTATTAGCATATTTATTATATGGGTTTAAAGGAAAATTTGTATAATAAGAGGTGATTATTATTATTACATCCCAACATTTACCAGGATGTAGCCATCAATCCCTAAACCATTGTCTGACCACGTCATCTGAGCTTCCTATAAACGAAACATTCTTGTTGTCCTTTATTTACTTTGTTCTCGGTTATCGCCAACAATGGCTACACAGTTCATCTATACATGTAAAATATTATGACATCATTACCGACGACCGATACCTATGCACACACCAATGCTTTACCCTATACCGCTCACCTTTTTATCTAATTTTCTGAAAAAAATAATTGAATTTCCAAAGAAGACGATTAAAATAGTTGTTGAATGTATTACATTGAATAATTTTCAACGAATTTGTGGCTATATAAAATATAGGATAGTATACAAACACATATTATATAGATGATAGATGATAGTAATTTATGTGTTTCGAGATATTTATTTACACAGTGAATTTATACATCATATTTGAGATCAAAAAAAATTTCAAATTTTTATTTTAAATTTAAACACATACCTTAAAAAATATAATTAGTTTACATAGGCAATTTTTTATTATATAGTGATGCTATTAAAAAATATAAGAATTTTTTATATGCACGATTTCATAAACTAAGACGTTTACCAGTACCAACTCGTTATAACCCAGCACCAAGTATAAAATATTTTCTCGAAATCAACTATTTTGCTAGTAAATTTCTCCTAGCTCTATATGCTAAAAACTTTAATATTTCAAATGATGACCCAAAAGTTAAATTCAATTCAATATTTGATGGAAATATATTATATAATATACAATATCTTCAGTAACTTTGGAATCACTATTTTTTTTTCACAAAAAGCTTTTATATTTACGAGCACAGTATTGCTTTAATAAAATACATTTTCCCAAAAAATATTTAAAAATATAGTTTATAATGTAGTTCACTGAAAAAAAAATATGTAAGTAAAATGTAAATTATTTGACACTATCGGAATATTTGTTTACTTTCTTATATTTTATTTATTCAATTTAAAATAATTTTAACTCAGTGCAAAATAGTGATGTATGCATCATCATTATTTATTTTTAATTTAAATGATAAATAAAAAAAAGATTCTGAGATAAACTATTGTTTAAATTCACAAAAAAATAAAATAATTATCAAGTTTTTTTTTTTCAAAATTAAGTGCTTGTTTCTATACATTATTATTCGATGTATAAGTTGTTGTTTTTTTTTTTTTTTGCTTTTTTGTGAAAGGTATTGAGAAAGTAATTAATGCACCTCTAAAAGTACTTTTAATATCCCCTGTACTGCTCGTCTAAAATTTTCAACCCATGCAAACGGCACAACGTGTATTTTTTGTAAGTATTTTCATTGTAAGAAAATTAAAAAATTAAATTAAAATAAATACAAATTGGAAAAACCAATCGCTTTGGTCGAAATTTAAAACACTATAACGTAACTTACTTCGAAAATCCACCATACCAATAATATTTCATTCTGAGTACTATATTTTACTTATATTATATTGTCACATAATATAGCCTTCTGACTTTCTGATTGTGCGCAATATATTCGTATTATATTTTTATCTACTCTGACCCATTTTATCAGTCTCTAATTCCCTACTAATTAAACATTCAATAACAATTATAATTAATTAAATTATAAAAAATACAAAAACACTTACTTACTTATGGTACAATTGTGCATAGTAATTTTGCATAATAACTTTTATAGTAAAATACTAAAATATAACATCATCGATATTGTATATCATATAATTTTTTTTATTAACTCGACGGTATGTGATCATTTCAGAAGAATGAACGTGACGGGATTTCAAAACGATTTATCGGATGATGGGCACAGGGCATGCGGAGCCACATTGACTGTGGGTACGTATTATGTGCTATTTGCAGACGTCGTGCACGGCCGATTTGTAGCCAAAGACAGACAAGGCGCATTGGTTGAGTGGACAGACGGCAACGAAAGAGCCGTATGGCACGGACTTGGTGAGTAATAATAAAATAAAATGTCAATACAGATAGATTTACACGTGCCCAACGTACCTGCGCGTACGACAAAGTATATTTTTATTACAGCGACGACATTGTACTCGTATAATAGTATAATAATTAATAATAAATTAACTCTCGAACAAATAATATTGATTTTAGTTGTATTTTCGGGGCGTATAATATCGGATCGAATAACGAACCTATACATATATTATTTTATATGAATAGTGAATACGTTACAGATAGGTGGAACATTTTAATTTGCTTTGATATCAATAATAAATGAAGAGATAAATTAGCATAAAATATTCGTGAAATCTGCACTGTTTGACATAGCCAATTCATAGGATATCAGATACTCGAGCTCCGTAAATGTATACAACAAGTACACAACACTCTTCTTCGTGACGTCTTTTATACGGCTAAAGCGCGATGGTATATACACTTTTTACATATGATATTTCTTGTGTAAGCCTTGTTTGACAGTGTAACTAAAGCTATATGCCACAGACAAAGAGTATGACTCGGTCATGGATAAAAACCAATATTACTGTTTGTGCGATGTTGCAAAACAATAGTTTACTGTTTATTACATATTAGAATCCATATTACAAGCATTCGGTATAATTTCAGTAGTCAAAAAAAAATGTTCTCGTTATTTTTCATGACGGTCGTTTTTATTTGTGAAAAGAGGTTAATATAAAAATGTTTTATCGAATTATTTCCGTGTAAACAATTATTTATAATAAAAAATAAAAAAATAAAATAAATATCACATTAAAGTACGCACGTACATCTTGTGTGCCCAAGGGAATAGTTCATATTAATTCAACTTACTGTATAAAAGATTTAATAAGTAAAAGCCACTGTTTAATAACTATTAAGTTGTAAGTGTTATGATATGTTTTGTTTGACTAAAACATACATTTATTATTCAGTACTTATGTTAAAATCATATTGTAAACATTGCGCTCGTGTAATCCGTGTAATTCATTTATTTCGTTTATTGTATTTATTTTTTTTCATAATATTTTTGATGAAATTTCTTCTAAATTTGGTAAAAAATTGTCGTTTTATATTACTATTTAAGATTAAACGCACGCTTGCATAGCAAAGGTGAATGATTTCATAGGCTATTTTTTCATTCTGTGATTGATAAAGCTGACTAATATTACAGACTCCAATTTTAATCCTTTATCCGATACAAACCGATTATCATATCATCATTATTGCATATTTTATACATGTTTGTGTTAATATATAAATTTAACAATATAAGTGTATGGATACAATATAATTTAATTTACAAAAATATATCATATGTATACGACGTTAGTGCAGTACAGCAATCTAAAAAGTACAGTTATCAAGTCATTTTTTTAAATGGTATTAATTTTTTTGCTGCAAATAAGGGATTAAAATTACTTATGAGTAGCCAAACCAATTTAATGAAAATCTAAAAGGGATACGTGACGAAAGTTCCCTTATAAATAAGCTTTAGCATACTCCCAGAGTTGTTGTATTGGATGATATCGGTATGTACGTACAATACGGCTGTACCCATGTTTGTTTTGACTTTTTTTTTATATTAGCATAAGAGACTCGTAAAGATATAACACATTGGACGTGAGTGTGTTGTTAATATTCAAAACCATTTGCAGTACAGAACCCATCACTCTTGTCCAATCCGGCGTATCTCTACACCGAAGAAATTGTTTTTCAGTTTGATTATCATGTCACTAAAAACCTAAGAGGCTTAAGATGATCGGATTTACAGTATTATATTAGTTATATTTGTCATGATCTACGTCATTGTCGTATCAAATCGGTTGATTTATCACTATCGTCAGCATTAAAATTATTTTAATTAATTTTTCCAGGCAAAATAAAAGCTTGTTTAACTATCGAATAAGAACTAAGGGCTAACTAATTACATATGTTTAAATCGGTAATCCACTACCGTGGTGATTTTTTTTTGGGGGGGTCTAGTGTGTATATTATAATATATATAATATGTTGACGTATGTCGACTACACAATTTTAGTGGAACTAGTGACATACAATATATCTAACGGTCAGCAGTCTCTAGGAGACCGTTTCTACGAATTAATTTAGCGTAGTTTACAGGGTAGCAATGTTTTATATCTGACACATTCTTATGTACTTTTCCGCACCAATGTTTTTCACCTTCCCCGTATAGAAATCTCTTTTATCCTATTGTCACATCTCAATCTACACGGCCCTACAGAATGAAACCAAGTTACTTGTACCATTGACTGTTACTAACTTTTTTCCACATATATATTTCTATATAAAATTAATGGAGAGACCCATACAATTTATGTGAATTGTAAAGGACAATGAAAAAAATGCGTCTACATTATGGTCACAGATCTGAGTTGAGGACACGAAAAGAAAAATGACTTTCTTCTCCGTCGTTGTAATAGTAGTATTTTGTAGTAGTATAATAATATATAATAGGTAATATACACGTGATGGAGCTCAATATAAAATATATAGTACGGTTGTGGAATCATATAAACATATATTATATTAAGTTATGTTATGTACATATTGTAAAATAGACGTATTTTACGATTTATCTATCTTTTTAAATATTCTGAATGGAAACTTAAATATTTTTTATGTTTTTATAGAGTGATAAAATGTTGAAACTTAAAAAAATTATTATGTACATGAGTGAATCATAATGCAGTGTTTGTACGACAGTCTTTGCACTGTTCACCCATAGTTTTGCATTTTTAGAGTCAAACTTTTGGTTTTTTTAAAGTTACGTAGCAGTAGTGTCATTACGTTGTAGGACATAGATTGACTTCTTATCGATTTAGTGTTCTTTAAACGGTCGACTTAACTTTTTTTTATGGCTATACACGATGCACTCATATCGACATAGGCACGTACGCATACACCGTTTATAATCGCGTCTTTGAAATATTTGTTTTGCACTACCGAAGTCCCAAGTTGTAATACTGTTTGACTCTGTGGATTTTCTTTATCACTAGCCGTTCCACTTCCGTGTCCGTTCAATTTACTGTGACATTCATTTGCCTTGTGTCCCGGTTTTGAACATCGATAACACACTATAGTTAATTTTTTTGTACAATTTTTTGATAAATGTCCAGTATCTCGACATCGAAAACAAATAACCGTCGATTTCGTCGTAATACGATTATTTGACAAATGACTGTTATTTTTACTATTCACGTGTTTAATTAAATTCTTATCCGATTTTGTATTAGGATATTCGTTTTTGTCTCGTATATATTTGCTTGTGGCAATCAAATGTGGTAATAACTCAGTCGGTCGTTAGTATTTAATAAGAGGACCAAGATAGTCCCAATATCGATCATTTACCAATCCGCGAACTACCCACTGTATAATTTCGGCGTCACTCATATTTGCACGGTTACATTTTGCGATTTTTTTCATAAAAATATTCGATTATATTCTGTCCATTTATCCGAGAAAAGTTTTGCGCATCTAATTTTAGTTGTATCACGTCTTCTACCATAGTTGACGGAAAATTATCTCTTAACAGTTTTACCCAATCGAACCAAGTTCGATCGGCTCGGGGTAAACTGTCCCGCCAAATCTTGGCCACACCAGTAAGTTTTGCTAACGCAAAGTGTTGTACAGCCACATCGTCCCAATCATATAGTATAGCAAATTCTTCAATTTTATCGATCCACTTATTAATCGCCATAGTCGAGTTTATCGGGTTAAATTCCGGCAAAGCGCCCGACGTATCGCCTAACCAGCGACGGTGTTGTGTTACTATCTCGGTACCGCCATCAACAACATTTTCACCACCTTCAGCCATTGCCACGCAATACTCCAGCCCTGTTGTGGTTATATATAAAAAATCGACTAGTACACTGTAACTTCACTTCAACGAGCCACACGTCACGTATATTCGCGATTTTCCGTCGATCTAAGACGATAATAATATCGATCAGCCCCAGTTAAAAAAAAACCTGAGCTGTCACGGGACACCTGACAGATGTGAAACATCAACATTATTTTGTAATAGTAATTGCAGAAAAGAACAGATTGCGATAGGAACTAAATATGTCATAATGATAAAATAAAATATTACGATTTTTTTTCAGATAATGATGACTGTTTATTTAATAAACATTTATTTTCATTAAATACAAAAATTTACGAATTTATTTCAAATCGTGACTACTTAATTCGTTTAATCAGTGACTTCGGTAATAGTGACATTCGATGTTGCCTCTGACGACAGTATTACTGTGACAATTGGTCGATGCTAGCTGAAGTATGTTACAAAAGTATTGGACATAACATTATCAAGATATCTAATAAATACAGCATCTATTGTTGTTCCGTATCTGGTGGTAGGTTCTCTTGGATTGAGATATAAATGATATGATAAAATAATAACTATAATAAAAACTAACTAATTATAATAATAATTAATATTATGCTGTTTTTTTATCATGATATAATTGGATTGAGATGGCTTAACGCCGGATCGAGTGGAAGAGAATCGCACAGTCGATTGCGCATGGCGACGCGTTGCCACACCGTACACACTACCATCATATAGCGTGGCGACGCGTCGCCACGGCATGCGTCGCCACGCCAGAAATCGGTTTTACGTGCGGCTATAGATGTTTCACATCAATAACCTGACCCGAAACGAATAAGTAATCTACGGAACAACCAACACGAGCGTTTCGTTCGCAAAATAAAAATTCGCGTACAGCAACTACACAATTCCACGTTACTGCCTCACCAAAATAAAACGCACTTTTTTAACGTTGCGTACAACAACAATACGAAAAAAAAAAAATCGCGTTAACAAACCAGTCACCAACTCCATACGACATCCGATACTCATACACACATACACACGGAACCCCACACCTGAACTGTAAAGACTGACCTTACTGGACAAAATTATAGTATTGTTTAGTAAGGCCGGATTGTGCCCAAGCGAATGACAC